ATTTCTGTATCTTTTATTTTTACGTTAAACAAGGTGTACCAACAATTTTGTCCATGTGTGCATGTTATAAGCCTCCTTTGATTTGATACCCTTAAATAAAATCTAGAGCAACAGGTTTCCTTGAATATCCAATGCTGGAAATAACACACTTTGGGAGCAGCTTTAGGCATTGGATCACAATCCTTTCTGATGCAGCTTGAGCTAATTGCTAAAGGTGTTTCCCTACTAAGTATTTAATTACTAAATTAAAATGCATGGCATAGTTTTCAAAATTCTTAGAAAAATGTGGCAGCTTTTATGTTTTGCATTGTTCTGTCTTATGTAATCCCACGGAAATAAGTTGATTTGATGTTGTAATATGACAAAAGGTGAAAATGTTCAAGGGTTAAAAATGAAAATTATTTTGCAATGCATTGTGCAAGTGCATTCAGATATATCAATAATTAGAAATTATCAATACACCTAATGCAATTTAGCTTCAACTAGACTGAAGAAACTTTGCAGCTTTGTACTTTGTACAAATCCAACTATTCCTAAGTATCTGAATATTAGAAGAACAGTGTGTTAGAAAAAATGCATAAGAAAGCTTGCAGCTTTTTGATTTCTAATTTGGCCAAACAGGGTACAAACCTTGTTGATTTTTTTCAAGTTAACTGAACTCACCTCTTTAAATGGGACCCAGTCGATACCGACGCTTACCCAGGCCGCTGATTGACAAGGCTTGAGCTGTCACATGTTCGACACCAAACAGGGAGAGAGGTTACATGTTGCACTTACTGTAGGCAGGTGAGGAAATGCTTTAAATGGAACAGTTACGAGAGCCGTTGGATGAGACTGATTTCGCACTTAGAAAAGGACCGTTTTCTAAATGATGCAGGAAAAGGGATGGTGTCCTCAAAACAAGCTGGGAGGCGGATTTGTTCCTGTTATCAAAGGCAGGATGAGAACCAGGACTCAGAGGCTCTCATTGTCGTACCGGTCAGTTGTATCTCAGTCATCGCTGACTTTTTGTTTATCACCTATTCTGTGTCAGTCTGGCTCTTGACGTATGGTTAAGAGAGGGTTTTATGTGCTTTATATGATTTAGGAGTTAATTGTTTTTTATTAAAGTGAGATGGCTGTATTCATTTCTGGCCTTCTTGTACTTTAAAATTACTCATAATAAACACGGAAGTAGCTGAATGATTCTGTCTTTCTAACATTTATTTTAAAAAATGAATATTTTGGAATTCTATTGTGAAAGAATGACTCTCTTTAAAACTATATTGTTTAATTGAAGTAAAAACCTGAAAATTAAATCGGTTTTACATTTTCAAAGCTTTGTTCAAGAACGCCAACCCATTCATTAATTAAGCAAGTAGCACAAATGCTGCCATCAAACAGGTCAGTCAATCAAAGCTGTAGGCGTGAAAAAAGGCCCATGTTTATGCATCGAAATTGTTCTCATCTGCTTATGACTTTCTGCTGCAAACGCTTTAGGTACACGTGTGAAAAGAAAAACTGGGATTTTTGTGCTCTCGTCTGTCTCTCTTGATAACATATTTACGGTTTTTACTGTAAAGTGTTCCCCTTCTTTTATACAGTTTTAAATTGGCACACTTTTTTAGTGCTTTGTTTATCCTTAGATGATTATCATGGGACTGTGATACAACCTGTGCTGTTTTGCGATTTATTTTTTTGTATTATATTTTTGCTTTACATTCATGAATGATCAGCCTTAAAGGTAGAGGTTTTAGATAATTAAAATAAGTTGTCCTCCTAATTGTCAATCATTCTGGTGATATGTTTACATAAGGCTGTCCTACTTGCTCGTCCCCATTTTAACCTACCGGTGGTGCATCTGACATAGTGGAAAAATTGCAAATCTTTGTTTAGAAAATAAGCTTATATGAGTGATACAATCAGCAACTTTTAAACAGAGCATGCACGGGGATAAATTGGCTTTTTCTTGCATGCATTTAATAGGCATTCCCACTCGGGAGCAGGTATAGGGTTGTGCATATGCTTTATTTTATTTTATTTTTTTTAAGTAGATAGGGCGGGTCTTTTTTTAAATTCGTGAAAATCTTCCACCATACCTTTAACAAAACAGTTATAAAGTCTGATCAGACAGTCAAGTAGCTCTTAATTTATGATATCAAGGAAACTGCTGTTTAATCAAATCCTATTGAATTGACAGGTTTTACAGTGTTTGTTTTTTCTACCCCCACCAAACTCAAAACAGTATAAACTTTTAGATCTGATACGGTGATATAAATTATTTAAATCAACTTCTGAATACATCACCATATCATACTGTATTTGAACTTTTTCTTGTTTTATAGGCTCCTTCCTGATTCACTTAGATAATTATGTATGATCAACCTGAAAAAAAAAAACATTGATATATTTTGATTATTAAAATTAAATTATGTTTTGTAAAATAGATTGTATCCACCTTGTAACCCTTAGGTATTGTCTCTTGGCGCTGACGTGCTGCCTGAATACAAGCTCCAGGCCCCACGCATCCACAAGTGGACGATCCTTCACTACAGCCCCTTTAAAGCCGTTTGGGATTGGGTCATCCTTCTGCTGGTCATCTACACAGCCATCTTCACCCCCTACTCTGCAGCCTTCCTTCTCAATGAGGCAGAAGAAGATGAAGGCTCTTGTGGCTACACCTGTAACCCACTTAATGTGGTGGACCTCGTGGTGGACGTCATGTTCATCGTGGACATCCTCATCAACTTTAGGACCACCTACGTCAATAGCAACGACGAGGTGGTCAGCCATCCGGGTCGCATTGCACAGCACTACTTCAAGGGCTGGTTCCTCATTGATATTGTTGCAGCCATTCCTTTTGATCTGCTCATATCCCGCTCTGGGTCACAGGAGGTGAGAAAAACAAATTTGCTTTGCTTTACCTTTTTGCTGTCTGATCTTTGTTTTCCTGCACTGGAAATAAATGTTTTCTGCAATGTCACAGGAAAAATATAATACTGCTACCCATAAAAGTTACTGAAAATATTTGTTATCCTTATTTTAAGATAATTTACTTATTTCCTTTCAATGTGACTATACTGATGTATACACTTGGTGTACAGAATGAGTGGTGCATATGTGATTTGTTTGCCTTAAATAGGGAAATAGGTACAAGAAAATAACTGCTCCTCTAAAACACATCTACTTGTACAGCATATTTTAAAAAGTTTAAAATAACAAACTTTGACAATAAGGATCAAACAAGGACCCAAATTCCTCCTACCACCACACATAGTTAGGAGGATGCTAAATTAGATAAACAGTTGACTTTAAAACTCACCCAGTGCTATAAAACCGTGAGGTTAGAAATGGATGTTGTGGCCACTAAGTCTCCTTAACTAGTAGACCATTTGCATAACCAAGCCAGTTATTCAAAAAGCAGTGGAAAAGTCTTTCTGTGTCACCTTTATAAAAATAGATGTGTGGATTTTTCTTTTCTTTTTTTTTCACTCAACTTGGATATTAACTAAAATCACATTTTTCTAGCTTTTTGGCAAAAGACAGTCCAGGCCTAGTGTAAGACAAAAAAAAAAAGTTAATAGTATCCTAAGATATTTGAAATACGAGGGTTTTTTTTCTGTGTTAATTTTTTATAACTGTCTGGTTGCCTCTGTGAGTAAACTGCAACTTATTGTCAATTGGGCCTTTTTTTTTTAAACAAAATATTTTTCCAAAACAGGTTTATAGTTTTGTTTTTTATAGGTGTCTCTAAGCAAAGCATCTTTTGGGCTTACCACAACGTCTTGAATATCTTAAGGTTTCGTATGGAGCTAAACTGGGGCCATAAAGTTTATTCAAAAGTATAAACTTTATGGCCCCATACCTTTATATTTGGGTTCTGAAAAATAAATTGATCCTGAAAAATATAGGAAAAAGTTTTGCATCTGAAATGATTTTTATTTTATTTTTTTTGCAAGAAATGTTAGGTTTGTCCTCTATTTCCAACAGCATAATTAAACCATATAACTGGAATAAATATTAGAATTCCAGGATTTACAAATAATTGTTCTAACTCATGACCTTGTTTGTACCGGCAGACTGAGCCACAGACTCAAACTACTCTGATTGGTCTACTGAAGACAGCCAGACTGCTGAGGTTAGTGCGGGTGGCCAGGAAGTTAGATCGTTACTCTGAATATGGAGCGGCCGTCCTCTTTCTCCTCATGTGCACATTTGCCCTCATCGCCCACTGGCTGGCCTGCATCTGGTATGCCATCGGCAACGTGGAGCGCACCGGCTCTGAACGCATCGGCGGCATGAAGATTGGTTGGCTTGATAACCTGGCTGACCAAATAGGGAAACACTACAACAGCAGCGACAGAACCTCAGGCCCTTCTATTAAAGACAAGTATGTTACGGCTTTATATTTCACCTTCAGCAGCTTGACCAGTGTGGGCTTTGGGAACGTCTCACCCAATACCAACCCAGAGAAAATCTTCTCCATCTGTGTCATGCTTATCGGCTGTAAGTAAAGTGTTAAAGACTCAGAAAAAAACAAGCATGTTTAATAAAAGTTGGTAGCACTACATAATATAGCCTGTATTTTTGGAAATTTGCTGGAACTTATAATGTACATTTTAAAAAATTACCTGGTATTTTTCTAGAAACTCTGTTGAGATTGCTGGTTATGTTCTTGGAACCTATTTGCTAGTTTTATGAAACAGGAAATTCATGAAATCTTCAGGGAATCTTCCAGCTGCTTAAATATAACTCACCAAATATATTCTTCAAACCTACATGATTTCAGACAATCAATTAAACAACTTCTATCTATTATCTCTTTATAACACACAAGGTGAGCAGAATACTGCACATAAAATCAGCATTACAGAAACATAATTAGAAAAACAATAAAAAAAAGTACAAAATATGAAACCAGTGCTACTGAATGTTTAAAGCAAGTCTTGATAAATTGGCCTTATATACGCCAGTCAACAATGGTGTGAATGTCAGGAAGAAATTTAGTTTCAGACCCTAAGCCCAACGACTTAGAAGGCCTGATCACCCTGGTATTTGTACCTGGCTCTAGGCCCTGGCTGTTTCAAAATTTACAGTAGCTTAGACAGCTACACAGGGGGAAGAACATTAAGAGCTTTAAAAATCAATGGCTAAATTTTAAAAATCAATCCTGATTTAGAATTGGAAGCCAGAAAAAAGAGGATTCCATTTATTTGCTGTCATCTGGGATTATTGGTAAAAACAAGGTCAGCTGTATTTTGAACCAAGATGTCTGATTGGTGACTGGGAGATACAGACATAGAGTGCTTTGCAATGGTCAAATCTTCAGCTCATAGCTTTACAGGCAAGGCAAGGCAAGGCAAATTTATTTGTATAGCACAATTCAGTACAAAGACAATGCAAAGTGCTTTACATGATTAAAATATAAGAAAATAAAACAGAAAAATAAACCTGTATAAGTTCTTGGTACTTTCCTAGACTTTACATGGACCTTGCTTGGTAGTTCCTTGGAATCTACCTACCTAACAGCAGGTAATATTGGAACTTCCAGGAAACTTGCAAGGTATAATTCTAGAACTTAATTTTCCTAATTTTAATTATATATTTAAAATGAATTAATAAATTTTTTTAAATTTTACTTTTAGTTTTAATGTAAAATATCACTTACTTTTATGGGATTAACCCTTTGCTTCAATTGAACCTACGAGGTAATTATATGAAACCTTTAAGGCACTTTCCTTAAACCTTAATGTAATTTACATGGCAAGGCAAGGCAAATGTATTTGTATAGCACAATTCAGTACAAAGACAATGCAAAGTTCTTTACATGACTAAAATATGGGAAAATAAAACAGAATCAAAGCAAGAAGGAAAAAATAAATAAATAAATAAAATAAAATAAAAAATACAGAAACAAAAAAGAATATTATAAACAGTTGGACTAAAGAAAATAAAAAAGTTGAACTAATGATGTTTCAGTTGAACTGTTTAA